ATGTTTGTACACTACTTGTAACGTAAATTGGGATTTGAATACAGTTTTATATGACTAGAAGGTATTTTTAACTCAACACAAATCATTTTACAACTTATAAATACTTTTTACACAACAAATTTTACACACAAATCATCGTTTTGACATTTTGAAAGTCGCTATATGAAGTTATACAAAGAACTTTAATTTTGACTCGACTTATAAATACAGACTAAATGTATGATAAACTATAATTATAACCTTAGTTTATTGCATGAATTTTATTTATAAGTGTAACTCCTTTCCCCGTCAATCTATCTGTCAAAATATATATTTTTTAATTTCCTCAAACCAATGTTCCTATATGATACATGACTTTACAAAATTGTACTTTGTTGTACTTTCTAACTTTCTATGTATTGTTGCATTTTACAGGCAATTTAATTCAAAATTTTATATTATTTAGTTTATTTTGACAGATTGATGTGTTCATCTAACGATTTTGCCTTTTTATTAAACAAACTTATTCTATATGTAAATTTTATCCTTCATTTTCTCATGTCTAGTATTTCGCATCCCTGTTGTCAGTTTTTCTCTGCTTTCCTAGCCTGAATATGTCTAATTTTTCACCATTATCTTATGTTATTTATTCATTTAACGTTACAACTTCGAACATCATAACAGTACGTATAGTTCCGGGCAGGAGCGGTGGTCCGCAACTGGTCGAGTAAACCGCGAGCGCCCGGGTGTCCTCCCGGCGCCTCCGCCACTGTCCGTCCGCAATTCAAACACGGCCGTAATTATTGCCAAGGAACGGGCAGAGCGTTGCATCGCGGAGGACAGAAGGCGGGCTGTATCCGGCTGGATCTAACCAATGACTCGGCGATCCGACTCAGCATGTAGATACAACAGCTTACTGAAACTAATTACGCTGATTTATGTTGCCATTGTTCATTGTTGGACCGTGTTTGGACAGCGTGCTCTCAGCAGATATACGTGCACGCCCTCTGCACGGCGATCCGCGCCCGGATCGGAGGAGGCCTAGCGCACACATGCAGCTCCCGCGGGAGTGGTGGGGGTGGCGGCGGTGTGCTAGGCAAACACGCCGAAATATTAGGAAAGTTGATAAAAAAATTTACCCGCATTTTTCAGTCGGGGTTCCGTGGTGTTACCGTAAAGGTGTTGGTAGTGTTTTAGAAGAATAAACTATTGCCAAGAAGTTGATATTTATTCAAGGTAGTAAACTACTTAGGTATATAGTTTCCTTACTTTGTTGTTTTATTTAGTGTTATTAATATCAAAATCCTATTATTTGAATTCATCTATTTAGTCCGGTCAATCTAGACATTCAAAGATACATAAATTTACAACAAGCTGAAAGTGAGTATAGTTGTTCAAAACATAATTAAAAATAACATATTAAAATTCCTCATCGTTCCGGTACTCGGAAAAAAATTTACTCGAGGTCAAAGGTCAAAAAAATGTGTTTTTCGCTATTTTCAGCTAAACAGTAAGTTTTATCATAAAATTACCTCTGACAAAAATTGTAGATCATAAAATTATGTATAAAAAATGTATCAATACTTTTTCTAAGAGCCACCGTTTCTGAGATATAACGATTCAAAAGATTGTAAAAGTTGTAATCGTTATAATATGCACACGTTTCCACGCCACCTATGAGGTAGTGTACTTAGCGCGTTTTTTTTAACGTGGTTTCCCCAGTAGGCCTATCACACAGGTCTGTTGTGATTCTGTTTAGTTTGAAACTATTGCATAATAACAGATATTAGCAAGGGTTGGAAATGATAAAGGCGATGGAAATTTAAAAAAAGTAGAGGAATTTATTCGTCTGATTCATAACCTTCAAATACTTCTTCTTCTTCATTCTGGGTGTAAGTAAATTGCGTCAATAGTGATGTTTCGCATGTTGCCTCGTTGGTGGCTCTTAGGAAAAAAAGTATTGATACATTTTTTATACATAATTTTATGATCTATAATTTTTGTCAGAGGTAATTTTATGATAAAACTTACCGTTTAGCTCTGAAAATCGCGACAATCCCATTTTTTTACCTTTGACCTTGAGTAAATTTTTTTCCGAGTACCGGAACGATGAGGAATTTTAATATATTATTTTTAATTATGTTTTAAACAATTTTACTCACTTTCAGCCTGTTGTAAATTTATGTACCTTCACTCTTATTTTTTGGTCTAATTTGACCGGATTATATTATATTAAAATGCAGAAGTAAAACAATTTGAAACTGTTTAACGAATTTTATTTACTTTTATTACGAATCAATTCTAGATATTACTTACTGAGAGCTTTCATTTTACTAGACTCCAAACTTAGTTGATAGTCCAGGTTATAGAGCAGTAAAAGTAGGCTTTGGCGTTTGTGAAGTCATCTGTTTTGTTGTATAGAAAAATCCCAAATATTATGTAGAATAAGAATCCGAGTTTGTCTATTCCAAAAAATCATTGCTAAATTCAGGAGAACAATAAACATACAAAAATAACGTAAAATGACCCGTTTTTCGACATATTTTTCCCTGTAACATTGAAAGTAAGCCCTAAATAAAAAAAGTCATTCTTTATTTTTTGTTTATTTCACGTTGCAACAACTGCTGATCAAAAAAGTCGAATTTTGCATTAACTATGGGCGAAAAATAGTAGAAAATACGCATATTGAATCCCATAATTGTTTATAGAGTAAAATTTAAAAAAATTCTAAATGGTTATAAAAGTGTAAAAATAGGTATTTTTGGTATTGATCAAAGTTTATTATGACAGCAAATATCTCTAAAAATTTGAGTGCCCTTTCTAAACCTTAATTTAAACCCACGGTACGCGATAAACTTTTTGAAATTTTCTTAATTAACAATCCTGTCAATCGAAAACCACGCTATCGATCGTTGCAAAAATTTTTACGGTAGAATTGACATATGTTTTACTATTTGTTCACAAAGTTTCATCAATATTTATAAATATTGACTTATTTTAAAAATTGCTCCAAGTATATACATGATTTTCTACTATTTTTCACCCATTGTTGATGCAAAATTCAACTTTTTTGATTCGCAGTTGTAGCTTTATAGAAAATCGTCAAATATACAAAAAATAAAGAATGACTTTTTTATTTAGGGCTTACTTTCAATGTTACAGGGAAAAGTATGTCGAAAAACGGATCACTTTTCGTTCTTCTTTTTGTATGTTTGTTGTTCCCCTGCATTTGGCAATGGTTTTTTGGAATAAGCAAATTCGGATTCTTATTCTACATAATATTTGGGATTTTTCTGTACAACAAAATAGCAGAAACTGAAGAAACGAAACCAAATTTATTTCTCTTTATAATTTATAAAATATAATATATAAAATACTGTAATTTTAAACAAACCTACTACTGGTCACTATATTTTCCCTGAGAGTTTTTATTTTATTCAACTCTAGACTTGGTTAAGTAGAAACTAAAGATGCCTTACCCTTTTTATGAACTTATTCATTTCATTTTAAATCTAGTTGCCACTAATGATAAAATAAATGCACAATTTGGTTAAAATTATTACGGAACAATCCAATAAAATGCTTTTAGTTATTGTAGCGGTGAAAAAGGTTTGCCATTTCATAAAAACGAGAAATATATGCAAATAAAAGAACGGTTTATACAGATACACTCCAGTCCCTGTTTTATTGCAACGGTGGTGGAATGGGGTTTCTACTTCGTACGAAACGGACAAAAATACGCCCGAATAAAAAAGAGGCATCATATCTCAATTATATCCGGCAAACTACGTGCGAAGTTAAAGAACTGCAATGAATATTCAGCGATATACCTCTAATAAACTTTGCTAGTGGACCAAATCTGGCATGTCGCGGAATAGGAAACGGCTCCGATCGGTTCGCAGATAACAATAAATTAATTTAATAAGCCTCGCAATGGAAAATAGAGTTGATACCGTTCGAAAATACCTGAGAGATCCCATTTTCAGATACCTACTCTTTATGGTATTCTGTTACAGTCCAGGTCGACTATTAAATTGTACTCGTTTATTTGAGTCGTTATTGACGTCATCAAATTTCATGAAGCCCAGATTAATGTTTACATTTTGTAAAAATTGCTTAATAATAATAAAACTATTTGATAAAGTGCAATAAAGTATTTACTGTTTTGGAAAACATTGTAGATAAATGAAAAACAATTTATCAAAATATAAAGGACATACATTTAATAAATATGATTAATGTGACAAAATTTCAGCTCAATCACTGACTCTATAGAAAATTTTGAAGGTGCATCTTTCAGACGGTGAATGTACGTAGTAGTCATAACTTAGCTGGTATATAATATGGCCACATATTTGCATTAGTTAAGTCGAGCCGTTCGCCTTTTCATAAGATACAACTCTAATCAAACCAGGCGCATTAATAAAGATTAATTTATTACGGCGGCCATATTAAATCATTCAAGAAGTGACATCTGCTGTTCGCCTTGAACTATCACGTTTTTCATCGTCTATATACCAGGTGTTGCAGCGTTATAATTGATGGGTCAGCTTACACTCATGTTTGCATTTCTTTCTGTATTGAGCGCGAAATTGTTGGATATTTATTGCGGTGGGAACTCTCGGCTCCAAGACGTTTATATTTATCAGCACTCGCAATTTATACGGCTTCGATATATGCGATCCCTTACTTTTTTTTTATAAATAAGTATATCCAATATTTACTCACTCACAAGATTTGGTAAACAAATAAGATCCTCGCGCCAAATCATTAACTCTTTCTATCTTAAATCCTCACAAACAACTTGGGAATTATTAAAATAATATCTATTGTCTCTAATCACCCATACTGTCCTAAAAATCCCATTTGAATAAGTTATGGGTCGGGATATATTGAAATAAATAAGTAGTTAATTACTATTTAGAAGTACTACTGGTATTTTTTTAAATAATTTTTAAGCCTTAATTTCTTACAATTATTGTAAAAATCCGTTTCTTTGTTTCAGGGGAAGGAGGTGAGGAAGGATCACCGGAAGAAGGGGACAAATTGGACGGTGAGGAAGACACCGGATCGATGACACCCACTTCTGCCGTGTCTCCTGCTCCCCCCGAAGACGAGGCGTCTTCGCCAACCCCTGGAGACGTTTTAACCCCAACCAGTCCCCGCTCGACTAACGGAGACGTTAGGTATGGTATTTATTACTAATATTATTATTTAATGTTCAAACCGGCACATTTTTTTGTTGTACATTTTCATATTATTTTTTTTTGTTTCAGGAACGTGAACTCTCGATGTGATTCTCGCGAATCTGGCGAATCAGCCATCCAGCCACGATCGCCTTCAGCCGAATCTCTGATGTCTGAAAGAGCTGCTTTGCTTCGAGGTATCCCTCTGGGCACATCTCTCAGCCCCGTGGGGGTCACCCTGCCTCCTACCATGCCCGCCGCCGCCGCTGCAGCTCTTCTTCCTCCACAATCGGCTGCTATGGCCGCGTATCTCAATGCGGCGGCGGCTGCTGCCGTCGCCCAGCAGTCGCATCGCTTAATGATGACATCGCCGTTACCTTCGAGTTTTAACAGGGCGTCGATTTCCCCATTGATTTCGTCTTCCTCGTCTCCACCCGGTGGTTTCAACCCGTCGCCAGTAGAACAACCTCTTCAGTCACCGCCAGCGGAGGGTATTCTGGACTTTAGCAAGCGTGGACAAAAAAGCGAAGCCGGTGATAGTGACTCTGATGTTGTGAATCTCAGTAAGCCTGAATCTCCTCCTAGTGGAGAACCTGCGGGGGGACCCTTAGATCTATCAGTTAGTAGTCGGAAACGCACATCTGAGGATCCCCTGACTACTCAACCACCACAGCGTAAAGCCAGGACTGACTTCAAACCAACTTTGCCGCAATGGCCTCCACCGATCGGTGCTTCCCATTTGCCATACTTTGCAGCAGCAGTAGCGGCAGCAGGATTGTCTCCCAAGAACAATTCTAGTGAACTCTGGAATGGTAAATTGAAACACCCTACTCCTACTCCTAGCGACGCCACCAAAGCTTTGGAAAAGATGAGTGAATTGAGCAAGCTGGGAGGGGAAGATCTCTTCCGTTCTATGGCTAACGCTGCTCCGGGTAACTCGGCGAGTAACAGACATAGCGCGTGGCAGTCCCACTGGCTAAACAAAGGTGCTGAGCAAGCCAAAGACGTCTTGAAATGCGTTTGGTGCAAACAGAGCTTTCCCAGTCTGGCGGCGATGACCACCCATATGAAGGAAGCTAAGCACTGCGGTGTGAACGTTCCCGTCCCTCCTATGCAATCAACTAGTTTAATTCCGCAACCGCAGATCTCTTCGCCTTCGAATACTAACACTAGTACCTCTTCAACCAATTCCAACAAGCCAAATCAGTCCGACCTTAATATGTTGATCAAGGAAACCATGCCTTTGCCTAGAAAGTTAGTTAGAGGACAGGACGTATGGCTAGGAAAAGGTGCTGAACAGACCCGGCAGATCCTCAAATGCATGTGGTGCGGACAAAGTTTCAGATCTTTGGCTGAAATGACTAGTCATATGCAGCAAACCCAGCACTATACCAACATTATATCTCAAGAACAAATTATTTCTTGGAGGTCCACGGATGATGCTAAAGGAGGAGGTGGTGGCGGCCCATCAGGCCCAAATCCACCGCCAGGAGGTGCCAGTAGTCATGTCAGCGCCGTGCTCACTTGTAAAGTATGTGATCAAGCCTTCAGCTCTTTGAAAGAACTAAGTAATCATATGGTAAAGAATTCTCATTACAAAGAACACATTATGAGGTCGATAACAGAGAGCGGTGGAAGAAGGAGGCAGACTAGAGAGAAGCGCAAGAAATCGTTGCCCGTTAGAAAACTGCTGGAACTAGAAAGGGCTCAACATGAATTTAAAAATGGTGACAATGGCAGCATCATCGAGAAAATGCGCGATCCCACTGGCGCTGGAAGGATAACTTGCGAAAAATGCGGAAATAAAATCGAAACGTCTCTCTTTGTTGACCATATAAGACAATGTGTAGGTGGTATGACAAACAATCAAAGAAATTTCTTGAAAAACGCGTTGATGTCTAGCAACATTCTACCTCCCGAAAGCCCAAGCAGAGATAAACTTAAAACTCCTACTGACAAATCTCCCTCACCTCAGCAAAGGTCGCCATCTGTTAGTGACTTAAGTACTAAGGAACCATCCGCAACTCCGGAAAACAACAACGGTTCATCACCGTCTGTCTTGAACGCTATCGAGAAGCTCATAGAGAAAAGCTTTGACTCCAGATCTAGACAAAATCCGGGGTTTCCTGGACAAGGGCCCACCCAGGCGCCCATGGGGAGCAGTATATTAAAACGACTGGGAATTGATGAAAGTGTGGACTATACCAAACCTCTAGTCGATGCACAAACTATGAATTTACTTCGAAGCTATCATCAGCATCAGAGCCATCACTACGGAAGAAGGGAAAGAAGCGGAAGTGAATCCAGTTCCATATCAGAAAGAGGAAGCAGTAGGGTGGATTCTCTTACACCTGAACGAAAAATGGAACCTCCTGGTGTACCAATAACGAGTACACCTAGATCGACACCGGATATCAAAAGGGAAAAGTCACCGTTCATTGAAAAAATAAACAATGCAAGCGATACAGATAACAATGAGCATGTAGTTGTTAAAAAAGAAATGGAGGATGAAGATAGATCTGCGGAGAATCATAATGACTTTCATGTTAAACGAGAAGTAGACGAGATTGATGAGGATGAGCGCGGTAGTTTTCACAGCAACGGTGAAGTTTCAAAAGAAGAAGAAGAGAAACGGCGAAGTCCTCTGATCAGTCCTCGACAGCAAGCTATTGTTGCGGATAACGCACAACCAAACAGTCCTTGCAGGAATTCTACCAGTAGTCCTGCGAGTAGTGATAGATCTGGTACCCCACGCAGTACCAACGGGGACAGAAAGACAGCTGGAGGCAGTTTGGGTGCACTGAGTTCAATGTTCGACAGTCTATCAGGTACCAATAACAGCACGGGCGACGGTGGTCAAACGGGAAACAAGAGAGGCTCCAGCCACCCTTTGGCGGCCCTGCAGAAACTTTGCGATAAGACTGAAACACACACGAACAACAGAAGCCATGCCGCTGCCACTGCCGTCGCCAACCCTGTTACCGCCAGCAACACCACGACTACGAGCGGCACCACTCCGGGCGCTATCCTGGCCTTCAGCTGGGCCTGCAACGACGCGGTGATGACTTCGGATTCCATAATGAAATGCGCGTTTTGCGATACGCCCTTCATTTCGAAGGGCGCTTATCGTCACCACCTGTCGAAAATGCACTTCGTGAAGGATGGTGTAATACCCGATCCAGTGTCCTTAAAGACTTCACAGCCATCCAGCTCCGCGGGTTCCGGGGTGCCCCTGAAGGGAACCGCCATAGTGCCAACAGTGTCCAGTAGTTCCGCTTCGACGGGTGCCAAGAGTCCTCCGGCCCCCGGGGGCTTCGAGGAGAGTCCCCACTCGAAATTCCTCAAGTACACCGAACTGGCCAAACAATTGTCTAGTAAATATGTGTAAATAGTGTTCAATAAAACAAACATTCCTATTTTGTAAAGTATAAAGATAGTCTTGAAGGCATACCGCTGTGAGCGGAATTTTGTGATGTTATCATATCTTAATTACAACCAATAGTAATAATGGTAGCATTAGTGATATAACTATGTATATTCATTGCGGAATTACAAAAGGTCTCGAGTGATTATGATTGTTATACGAATTTTAAGTCACAAAATGTGTACATATTAAATAAGTCAGTATTGTAGGAATGTATACTTTTCTCATAGGGCTGGAAAGGCCAAATCAAAAACTAAAGATCAAAAAACTTGTGTATAGAGGCTGCGAAGCGTATCCAAATTCAGAGACGTACTAGGATATTTTAGTTTTTGATTGGGTTCGTTACTTCATAAATTCCAAGCCCCCTAATCGTTTAGATATGTAAAATTAGTTGTTGGTTGACAGGCCGTAAGTTTTGGAAAGTATTAAAAAAAATGAAGATCGTAGTCGTAAAAAAAACCATTGATTTTATCTTCAACTATTTATTACTAAGTTGGAATCTTGTAAAAGTTTCAATAATTAAAAAACAAACAAACAAGTATACGTATATCGTAAATATCTCATCTTCCAAGAAAATTTTTAAATAAATATTTATCAATAATAATTATTATACTATACTGAATAATACAAAAGATGTATACGCAACTAGCTGATATTCATGGCGAAGCTCTTTTTATGTTATTAAAAAATTTTAAACTTTATTTAATATTTTGTTGTATTTGATCGCAATGAAAGCTCAAATAAATATATGTTATGAAAAGCCGAATTTCATTACACCTCTCCAAAAATCTAAAGCACACAGTGTTCCCGAGATTGAATATATTCGTCTTCTGCCTTAAGGTTGGTGCATTTTCTTTAGTATTCGAAGTTTCTTACAAAAAAAAAACAATTTCTTATCATAATATTGATGGGTACAAAACTATATAACCGAAATAGTTGTAGTTTTTGAATGATTTAAAAGAGTAGGGTACCTATTTATAAAAGTTTTTACGTGTAACTCTAATTTAACTAAAGTCAAGTAACGTCGTCAAAAATTAGGAAATGTTCCTGTCATCCCAGATCTGAAAACCCTAATTTCAGATACATCGAATACGTGTCAAATTGAATTAAGTTTGTATCTAGATTGCATAAAAATAAAAATAAAATGGATATTTAGCAAATTTCATTAACGTAAAACATTTTTTTTTGTAAACAGCGTTTTCCTATCAATTTTTTTTTCTTGACAATACCGTCTGCATTTAGAGTATGTTGATTTGTTATTAACATCCTGTATATTTGTTAACTGCTCCTATATGGATACATTAAAAATAGAAGCAAATTTATGAATGAGTAGGGAAGAGTGGGAGAATGATAGGTAAGGAACCAACAGTTTTAACTATATCCATATATACGAAAGATAATGTCCAGTGGACCTACTTCGACAAGAAATTCAGCCAGATATACACATTATGACATTAACTGACATTCCTTCACTTGGCGGGTAATTGCGGTCAGAAGATTTCTTTCGATTTTTAAATGGTGATATTTACAAGTGCGATTTTTGTATTTTTTTTTTTTCTCAAAATATGTCTATATTTATTTGAATTTGTAGAATAATGAAACTTGGACTATTTAATTAAAGGTAAGGATCCTTTAAATTTGAATATAAATACATCAACCTATGGTAGTGATGTCGGTATTCAATATGGCTAAAGACCCCAAATTTTACACTTAATTGAAAACAACTTATTTATTATATTAAATTTTCTCAAATGCCTCAAACCTTCGCGCCGTTACTACTTAAGACACAGATTCCTCAAAGCCTTAGGAACTTATCTTAAGACATCTTATATTTAATGGCGATTCTATGTTTATATGGGGCATTCTTTTGTGAAAGAGAATTGAAATGAGGGGCATTGCCCAGTTGACGGATTATCCCACTTTCTTCTACCAATTTTTTTTTTATGAAGGAAACTCGAAAAATTGAAAAAATTAATACAGAATAGTCAAACAGTGCATATAGTATAAGTATACAAGAGAGAAAGGAATGAATTTCAGACATTAAAAAAAATGCTAAATATTGTATTAGTATCCATTCGATAAGACTAGAGTGGGAAAGGAACAAATCTCAAACATTTTCAAAACAAGGCAGCAAATTCTTTACATAACATTTTTTTTAAATGTATGCATCTTAATTAATATATATTTTTTCTTTTTTATAAAAGAATATTGTAGAAACTACGACACATTTAATTTCCTGTACTATTTATTTAAGAAGAATGAGAAATGTATTAACCACAAAGAAGTACCACCGACCCTTTCTTAAATTTAAGAATAAAATCAACATCCTCCGAACAAAGCCAACCCCTAAATTTGGCCCGGTCGGCGGCGAAACAGTCTGAAATGACGATTACTTCGTCTAATCGCAAATAGCAGGCAGACATTAGCATGAACTAGAGATAAATATTTGCCCTTAAAGTTCCTAATTTGGAAGTAGCAAATAAATTTAATTCTCCCGTCTTCGGGATCGGTCTTATCATCGCCCGAGCGGGAGGGAAGATGGACGGTGACGGAACAACTGGAGCCGAAGCCCTAGTCGATAAGGGGAGGCGGAGGGGATCCGGATGTTTCTCCTGAATGAGTTACCGTTTAAGATGTACGGGGTTGTATATGCATTTAAATGAAGTAAAACGCAGGCACACTTTATTAAAATTCAAACATGAATTTCAGTGTTAAAGAATGTCAAAATATAAGGAAATTAAAAATTATTTGTTAGAATTTTTGTGCGAAGTTCATTTGTTTGATCAGCTTCTAATCTGAAATGTAATCTGGGTCCTTTCTTATTTGAAAAGTTCGATTCAAAATATTTTCAAAATATATTATCTCACCATATTTAGATTTTTGTCTCGAAAAAAAATCAGTGTCAAAAAGTAACAAAATAAGGGTTTCACGTAATAATGCAATCCCAAATCTAGACGTCAATCTTCTTCATCAATCTTCTTCCATATTTTTCCAAGTACGTTTTCAGTGTCAAAGGTGATCCGTTAGTCTCTGATTAGATTATGTTTCAATTAAAAACCGAAGTAACGAGTGAATCAGAAAACAGGTTGTTCAGAGGTTACAGGTTAATTTAAGTAGACACTGGCCATTTTATCTAGTGCGCGTGTGTCAATTTTCGGGGAGGAAGAAATTTAGTGTTTCTTGTACCCCTAAGTCATAATTTCAGAGGAGTGTGTTGTTTGGACCATTTTGGGTCAGACAATATAGGTGAACCAGGGATTTGATAAGATAACTGATGCTGAAATTTAAAAAAATGCGCTTGAAGAGGTATTTAAAGGTAAAAATTCTCTAAAATGGTATACAAACATGTTAACCACTGGCGGACATAGCGAGAGGATCTATTATTGAAAACTTTGGCCACTCAGTTTGTAATTATTTTTCAAAGGAGAAATGTCTTGAACTCTATTCACGAGCCATTCTCTAATTATTACTTTTTTAATTTTAAAATGATCAGAAACTTTTTATTCCACATACAATATTAAATAAAATGTGATCAAAAGTCTAAAAAAAATTTTAGAAACTTCTAATAATTATCTTTGAAATAGTATGGGGGCTCAAATTTCTATATATATACTTTTATGAATTGAATAGTTTTAAATATATTTTAAATGTATTTAACCGTGAACTGATTGTATTTTAGATAGAAAAAAAAAACTGGAAATGAGTCACCTTTCAAATAATATGTTTCATTTTCAGTTTCCAAAAAAACCTCTGGTTACCAATTTATTATTTCTTTTCCAATTCAGCAAATATTTACCTTTAGTTAGTTAAATCCTTAACCTAGCATTGAAGTACATCCGTAATATACAGGGTGTTAGAAGTTTGACTGCCTTAATTTTAACAGAATACATTAAAATAAACAAAAAAACCTCCGAGAAAAAAACTATCAACATCTCCAACTTGATGTACAAAAGTTCGATTAATTAAGGAATATTGACATAACTGCGTGCATAGAATACCATAAAATACAACGTTTATCACTTTTTTTAACTTCTTTATTCTTAATTCTAAAAAATAAAATTAGCGTTTTAATAAACTTAAAATTCGAATAACACGAGGTACTAAGCTGTCCAGTAATATACAATTCAGTTGGTATCTGGAATTGGACCGTATCTGAGTGTTTTTGCGTGCCACTATTTCCTTTTCTTGGGGCGTTTTCCAGCGAGTGCGCGAAAATTGGATTAGAAGGTGTCGTGCGTGCATCGAAAATGGTGGTGGATATTTTGAGCATATGTTGTAGTTTGTGCGTTTTCAAATTACTGAAATTTGCTCTGTGTTATGATTATTTGGATGACGTAATTCTTTGGATACTTATAATTATATATTTTTCAAATTCATAATTTGATTAAAAGTTCCTGTTTTAATAGATTCATAATTACCAAAATTGGAGCTAAAATTTAAGCACAACACTATTTTCGTACTACACAATCGATAGATTTTATTTTATTTATTTAGAATCTGGAAAACAATTGTCTAGAAATTTACTAAATGTTTCACAATAATAGTTGTTTACATTTTTTCCACAGGACAAGTCTACCGCGTGCACACGTGGTATGCATCAGCTGTGCGGCGTTAGGTTAAGCACTGTTCTCGTTGTGCTGAAACTGCCCAATATTAATACTCGCTGTATTTTGAAAACTGTTAATCATACACCCCTGTAATATACAACTTTTTTGTTCATTTATGATTACTCTATCTCACGCTGAAGTAATGGCAGTCAAACTTCTTGCACCCTATATAGCAAACAGAACATCATTCGTCACCCGAATCACCAGACATAAACCGGTTTCAGACTTATTAACTCTCATTAGTATACCATAGATTAACTGACGGTTGAACAATTTAACTACTTGCATGTCTATGTACGCAGATACGTTTTGAGTGTGGATGAAATATAACCTACAAAGTAAGTAATATATTAAATGTCATTAGTAGTCGGATAAAATGATCTACTGATCTATAGATACTAGAAAGCACAACTATCGTCGCAATAGGCAATTAGGCAAAATAAACTTTTTAACTAATGTGGAAAGTTACTGCTTTGCGATCTATAATATCCCGTTCAACATTGGATAACACTCACATATGACAATGTTGGCTGTTTACTAGACATGGCAGGTGTAATTCAATAGTGTACGGGGCATTAGTCCGCAAAGTAGTAGTTCTCACAATATCATTAGTTAAAAAGTTTATATCATCTAATGGGTCATTAATTATGCTTCCGTGGTACCTATATATTACTGCAGAAGAAACGTGCTGTTTTTAAGCTTCACTACCATCTCGAAAATCTGTAGCTTTAGACTTCTAGTTCACCGAAACTTTTTGGTCTAAAATGATGCAAGAGATATTCATTTGAAGTTGTGACATAGACCTAAAATACATCCTGTATACTGAAAACAGAAATTTCGATCAAAATTTCTATATTAACATCGCAGCTAAAAAATAAATATAATTAAAAGAAATATAGTAAGATTGGGGCCCATTACTGGTGGTTATTTAATTTTGATGCGAATATATAAAACCTCACAAAATCAAGTAGCAGTATCGTCACTAGTTTTCAAAAAATTGACCAAAACTAAGCAGAAATTTTAGCATAGCCAGATACTGCACGACGCCGCA